AGTGATCCCTCAGGGACTTACGAGGGTCCCCAAAGGGATGCTTCCCAGGGGCCACCCAAGCAGCCTTCAGGTGCAGTCAGAAGGTGTCTTTCCAATGCACAACCTTCTCTTCTGGTCCTAGCCCTTCATACCTGCTGCCAGCAGAGACACTCAGAGTAAACGTCATTGTCCTGCTTACTCCAAGGACATCAATATCCACAACAAGGATCCTGGCCCAGGACATTCCCAAAGCATCAGTGCTGGTTACAGGCAGAGGAAAGGGCCTCCTTGTGCCCTCTGGGACACACCACATCACCTGTGCCCCACCCCAAAGCAGCTATACTTGTGGCTAAAGTCTCACAGAGGACCTCTTGGGCGTTTGCAGTAACTTCTAACCTTTACCTTCTCTAAGCATAGTGGCTCAAACCTCCCCCGCCCCCCCTTATACCTACAGAGAACTATTCTACCATCTTCTCCTCCTACCCCCTCCTCCTATTCTCCCGCCACAAACTTCTTTCTTCACATCCTGTACCAAACTTCCCACAAAGATAAGCCGAGGGAAAGAGATATCTGAGTCATCCTTGAAGGATCGATAGGAGCTCACTTCCTGGAAAAGGTGGGAAAGAGTGTTTCAGCCGGGACCGGTTTGGCTCAATGGATAGAGCGTCGGCTTGGAGACTAAAAGGTCCTGGGTTCGATTCCGGTCAGGGGCTTGTGCCTTGGTTACGGGCATATCCCCAGTAGGGGGTGTGCAGGAGGCAGCTGATCAATGACTCTCTCTCATCGGTGTTTCTAACTCTCTATCTCTCTCCCTTCCTCTCTATACAAAATCAATAAAATATATTTTTTTTTTAAAAAAAAAGAGTGTTTCAGGCAAAGAAAACAAAAGAACGAAGAAGAAGCAGGGCATTCTGGGAAGAATCACAAATGATCAAATCATGGAGAACCTCTTGTTTCCAACGCTTCCTGATCACCATTCTCACTATGTGTGCTCATATGGAGCACATACCTCTATCAGATCAATATTAACCAGCATGGCTCAGTGGTTGAGCATTGACCTATGAACCAGATAGATATGGTACAATTTCTGGTCAGAGTATATGCCTATGTTTTGGGCTCAATCCCCGGATAGTGGCATGCAGGAGACAGCCAATCAATGATTGGCCCTCGTCATTGATATATATATATATATATATATATATATATATATATATATATCCCTTACTCTCTCTGGAATCAACAAGATAATTTTTTTTGTGCTAAGTGTTAAGAATATAGAAATAACAAACATAATTCTTACCTCAAGATTACGGAATAGAAAGGGAGGAACAGAGGTGGTGAAGGCCTGAAGGAGGTTTTGGGGCGGGGGGGGGGGGGGGGAGGAGAAGGAGGGACATCTATAATACTCTCAACAAATAAAGATTTTTTTTTAAAGAAAGAAAGGGGGTGACAATCTTGTAATTATAACAACTAGAAAGAAGTATTTGATATTGAGTGCACAGGGTGCAATTAGTAGTTTGAGGACAATGAGGATGCAAGCTGTATTCTAGGTCAAGGTCTAACTCACTTCCCCTATAACTTCTGTCCACCAGTCAGGTTCCTCTACCACATGCACAGCCCAGAGGACCAATATGCCTTATTCATATTTGTATTCCCAGTCTTTAGGCCAGAAATTGGTACATAAAAGGAATATATTAAATATGGTCTGAAATCCATAATTTCTGAGGCTTTACTCACTAACCTGGCATAGAACTGAATAAATACAAGAATGAACGATTTGTTAAATAAATGAATAATTGCTATCTATAAAAACAAATGAACCTTAAAGAATGTGTTGAGTGAGGGAGGAACAGTTCCTGGGGAATCTTTCAGACTCCTTACAAAAAGGAATTGGTCTTTCATATCCTCGACAGAGAACCTCCAGAAGAAGGGATGAGGATGTGTCCTTCCACTCAACAAATATGCATTGAATACCTATTGTGTACCAAGCACTGTTCATAGGCTCACAACAATGGACAAGACAAACAAAAATTCTTGCTTTCATGGAGCTTACTCTCTAGTAAGGAGCTTACTTGCCATGGTTGGCAAACTGCGGCTCGTGAGCCACATGCGGCTCTTTAGCCCCTTGAGTGTGGCTCTTCCACAAAATACCAAGGCCTGGGCAGGTCTATTTTGAAGAAGTGGCGTTAGAAGAAGTTTAAGTTTAAAAAATTTGGCTCTCTAGCCAAAACCTACACTATGGTTTTGGCTCAGTGGATAGAGCATCAGCCTGCCTACCCAAGGGTCCCAGGTTTGATTCTGGTCAAGGTGATGTACCTTGGTTGCAGGCACAACCCCAGTGGGGTGGTGGGGGGCATGCAGGAGGCAGCTGATAGATGTTTCTAGTTCTCTATCTCTCTTCCTCTCTGTGAAAAATCAATAAAATATATATATATTTTTTTTAAATCTGGCTCTCAAAAGAAATTTCAATTGTTGTACTGTTGGTATTTGGCTCTGTTGACTAATGAGTTTGCCGACCACTGCTCTAGTGGAAGGAAAAAAAAATTATAAAACCAAATACACAAATTATAAAGTATGCTAGATAGTAAGTATGATGGAGAAAATCAATTTCAAAGGCAGCTGAGTGTATAGGGTATGGGCTAATGATGAGGAAAGAGTGGCCACAGAAGGTCTGAGAGGGACTATGGGCATGAAAGACCTAGGAGACAAAGAGTGAGACACATGGACACCAGGGAGAAGTGCATTCCAGGCAAAGACGATTGCAAGTGAACCAGGCCTGACCATCTCAAGGAATAGCAGGCCAGCGTAGCCTGAGCAAAGTGCACACAGGGAACAGTTACAGGACATTCGGTAGAAGAGAGAAAAATAACCGGAACATTTTGGTCTGTATACGTCATTGTCATTATTTTGTTTTGTTTTGTTTTTGTTGTTTTAATATATTTTATTAAAATTTAACATACAGCCAGAACCAGTTTGGCTTAGTGGATAGAGCGTCGGCCTGTGGACTGAAAGGTCCCGGGTTCGATTCCGGTCCAGGGCATGTATCTTGGTTGTGGGCACATCCCCAGCTGGGGGTGTGCAAGAGGCAGCTGATCGATGACTCTCTCTCATCCTCTCTGTGAAAAATCAATAAAATATATATTTTTTTTAAAAATTTAACATACAGAGAGAAAAGGGTACAAATCCTAAGTATCATCTCAATGTATAACATGAATACAGGCCAAGAAATAGAGCATTACCAGCTCCCCTCCCTGCATTTCTCCCTTTCGCTCCTTCCCACCTCCTCAGAGATAACCACCATCTTGGCTTCAAACAGCAGAGATTGGTTTTGCCTGCTTTTTAACTTTAAAATAAATGGAATCATATCGTGTATCCTGTTTCTATCTGGGGGGTTTTCTCTCAAGATTTCTCCTTGTGATGTTTACTCATATGGTTTCAAGAGGGAAGAGTTAAGATGGCAAATGACAGCATGATAAAGTGCTGATGGGAAAGGTGTGGTAGGCAGATAGTACTGGTGATGGCAATGTTCAAGTGCCTGACATCCACAAGACAATTTAAGGAAAAAAGAGCTCACCCAGGAGCTGAGTGTCAGGGTTTCTCCCCTACTCAGATCCTTTCCTAAGAAGAAAGAGATCTCAAGAAGGTTAAGGTCATGGTTATAGTTACTGATTGTTTGATTCACTCAAACAGATAATACTTTATATCAGGCACAGTGCTGAAATGCAAAGACAATTAAAGCATGATTGGTTAGGCAAATAAGTAAACAGAGGGCTACAAAAGAGTGTAATAATTGTTTAAGTATTTGGCAAAGGATGCTAAGGAAGCATCTTCTTTAAGAATCTTTGTGCCTGGCTGGTGGGGTTCAGTGGTTGAGAATTAACCTATGAACAAGGAGGTCACAGTTCGATTCCCAGTCAGGGCACATGCCCAGGTTGCAGGCTCAATCCCCAGGAGGGCGCATGCAAGAGACAATTGATCAATGATTCTTTCTCTTCATTGATGTTTCTAGCACCTTCTCCCTCTCCCTTCTTCTCTGAAATCAGTAAAAATATATATATATATATATATATATATATATATTTTTTTTTTTTTTTTTTTTTTTTTTTTTAAGAATCTTTGTGACTATTTCACCTTCTTGGCTCAAACATTAATGGTTCTGAGATAAGCTCATTAGAATATGGCCATAATATATTCCTTATAAATGATATTTATTACTTTTATGTGTATCTCTTCTACTAAGTATAATCTTTTTGAGAGGAGAAAAGATGACTTTTAGTATCCTGAAAAGAGCACAAAGTAGTTGGAGTCAAAGTAGTTGAGTATGAATCCTGACCCATCCTTTAGCTATGCAACCCTGGGAAAATTATTAGTGAACTACTCTATGCCTCAGTTTTGTTATAAATTGAAATAATAGCATCCATCTAACTACCACACAGAAATTATTGTCAGCATCAAATGAAGTAATGTATAAAAAGAACTGTAAGTTCTGATTATTCATCCTCTAAATCTCACAAGCCCACTATGTTGAACACATAGTAGGTCATCAGTATGTAGAGTTTTAATTATAAATTATCAGCAAATACTTATGGTTTTGGAATATGTGGCAGGGAGTTGATATAGTTCCTTGTTTCCCTCTACCTTATGCCCAGAGAAAGAATTCAGAGGCTGGAGTTAGATAGTATGTAAGGCCGAGGATAACCAGCCAGTGTGGGAGAGTAAACTGAGCCAGGATCATCTGGGCCAGTGGTTGGCAAACTCTTTAGTCAACAGAGCCAAATATCAACAGTACAACAATTGACATTTCTTTTGAGAGCCAAATTTTTTAACTTAAACTTCTTCTAATGCCACTTCTTCAAAATAGACTTGCCCAGGCCATTGTATTTGTGGAAGAGCCACACTCAAGGGGCCAAAGAGCTGTATGTGGCCCATGAGCCGCAGTTTGCTGACCTAGCCCATTAACCAAGAGTTCCATACATTTTGTTTGATAGTCCATGTCAACAGTTTCCCTTCTTTGTTTATAGGGAACACAGTTTCACAAACCGAAGCACCCCCATTACTGGTGAATGGGGTGCTGGGGGAGTCGGTCACTCTCCCCCTGAAGTTTCCTGCAAAAGAAGAGATCCAGTTCATCACTTGGCTTCATAATTCATCAGCTATCATCTTTATACAGATAAAGCCACCACAGATCCAGAATACTGATCCACAGCGGAAAGATCGACTGAAAGTCATCCAGTTCTCTTCCTTGCAGATCAATAACCTGACAATGGCGGACAGTGGAGTTTACCGTGCCCAGTTAACCACAAAAGCCTTAAAGAATTATGATTACAATCTGTCGATCTTTGGTGAGTCAAAGATTGGAGTTTAATTTTGTATAGACTAAGAAATATTACATATTTTAATTCTGTGTGACTGCAAATATGTGCTAGAACCTCGTAGTAAAGAATATGGCACTAGGAGCCAGACTGAGGTCCAGTGGCAAAGCAATTCAAGAGCATTGCACATGGCCAGTTAGTTGACAGAACTGAGAACAGAACCTAAGTCTTGTGACTCCCAACCCAAATCACCTCATTTCCCCTCACACCATAAAATGGTTCCTTTCAAACTACAAGTGTAGAGGAAGTGATGGAAGTGAAATATCTAGGATTTTGTTGCCATGTGCATGACATGTGCATTACATGTATTTGTCATGTAATCCTCACAAAAGCTTCATGAGATAGGCACAGTGTCAGTTATAGCAACACCCTACAATCACAGAGATAGTAAGTGGGAGAGCTTCCCATAGAACTAGCTGGTGTGATGCCTCCCTTTATATAAAGGTTCATCTAACCCAGTGGTCAATGTACAGAACAGTAGTCTATGTAGAAAGTGTTCTATAAGGATGAGTTGAAAAGGAGAAATGTATTTTCTAGCAAGGTTGTTTAATTATTTTTTCCCCCAGACACCTTGGGTCCTCAACATAAACTGATGGAAACCATAAAGACATTTTTTATGAGTCAATGTCAGGAAAAGAAAGTCCTTCTAGCAATCAGTGATGCCATGAATGACAGGAACGCTTATCTTCCTTGGGGAACAATGGTCACATTATCTCTCCCTTGTGTTTTCTCCTCTTCAGTCTGTCTCAAATATCTCTGCTTTTCTCTTATAAGGACACTTACTGGATTTAGGGCCACCTAGATAGATAATCCAGGCTCATCTCATCCATCTGCAAAAGTCCTTTTGTCCAAATAAGATTCATAGAATTAGAATATCTATGTGTGTGTGGTGGTGAGTGGGAAGGGGTGTCATCATGCAACCAACTCTAGGTAATCACTGATCATCAAGGCAGAGCTAGGGCCCTGGAGAGAGGAGACACGTCTATTGGAAAGTCTGGGAACAGATCCCATGTCAGGCTCCATCACACCTGTAGAGACATTCTTCTGCCACCACTCAGAAGACCACGCATGACTTCTGCACTAACCACACTCCTGAGGCTCAATGTCCATTCCTTCTCAGGGTCTTTTAAAGTACCTCTCCTTCAAAGACACATACACAAAGAGATGTGCAAGCTACACCAACATGTCTTACAAGAGTACAGAGGGATTTCAATTTTAAAGCACTGACCAGCCTTAGCTGGTTTGGCTCAGTCAGCCTATGGACTGAAGGGACCCAGGTTTGATTCCAGTCAAGGGCCCATGCCTGGGTTGTGGGCTCAATCCCCAGTTGGTGGCGTGCAGGAGACAGCTGATCAATGGTTTTCTCTCATCATTGATGTTTCTATCTCTCTCTCCCTCTCCCTTCCTCTCTGAAATCAATAAAAATGTATTTTAAAAAATAAAATAAAACATTAACCAATTACTTCATATATCAGGTTAGGGATAGCAAAAATTTTACCTTACAGGCCATAATCAACTAATTAGGACTAACTTCTTAGAATTCATTGTTTTTGTTTGTTTAAATTTATTTATTTATTTATTTATTTATTTATTTATTTATTTATTTATTTTAGAGAGAGGAAGAGAGGTATACAGAGATAGAAACAGCAATGAGAGAGAAATATCATCAATCAGCTGCCTCCTGCACACACACCCCCCACAGGGGATCAAGCCCACAACTCCAGACCAGGAATCAAACCAGTGACCTGTTGGTTCCTGGGTTAATGCTCAACTGCTGAGCTACACCAGCTGGGCTAGAGTTCACTGTTAAAAAAGTCGCTGAGGCCATGTTAAGTTTATTCATTGAGTTAACAATATTTGTTGACTATGGACAATGTACAAGAAACTGTTTTTAGGCACTTGAAATGTATCAGTGAGCAAACAGACAAAGATCCCTGCCTTCATGGAGTTGAAATTCTGGGTGGAGAGTAAGAGGAGGTAAAAAATGACATATAAGAAAGCCATGTGTGTAAGAAAGCCATGAGTGCTGTGGAGAAAAAAAGAGATTAGAGTAGAATAAGACCATCAGATTAGAGTAGCATAAAAGCATACCGACAAGGAGTAGGGAGTAAATTTAATTGGAGGGTTATACTAAGCATCATTGGGAAGATGACATTTGAGCCAAGACCTCACCTGAGGTGAGGGAATAAGCCATGAAGATATCTGGATGAAGAGCATCCAGTGTGTGTACTCTCTGGTGTCTTGCATGTTCAAGGAATATCAAGAAGCAAAGTGAGGAGAGAATAACAGGAAACAAGGTTCAGTAAGAAAATTGAGGGCCACATCATGTAAGGCTCTGAGAGCCAACATAAGGACCTTTTATTTTTTCCAGTATAATGCTTGGCATACAGAACGCATTTAACAAATGTCAGTTATTATATTGCCCGTGAACATAAGGGCTTCTGATTCTAAATCTCAGTCAGGTTGAGAACCATTGGAGGGTTTTACAAAGAAGTAATATGATTTGACTTACTTGCTTAAAAGATCTCCTGGCTGCTCTGTTGCAAATAGATTGTAAGAAACAAAGGTGGAAGCCACTGGACCAATAAGGAGGCCATTGTGACAATCCAAGCAAGAGATGATACTGGCCAAAACCGGTTTGGCTCAGTGGATAGAGCATCAGCCTGTGGACTGAAAGGTCACAGGTTCAATTCCAGTCAAGGGCATGTACCTTGGTTGCAGGCATATCCCCAGTAGGTGGTGTGCAAGAGGCAGCTGATCGATGATTCTCTCTCATCGATGTTTCTAACTCTCTATCTCTCTCTCTTCCTCTCTGCAAAAAATCAATAAAATATATTAAATTAAAAAAGAGAGAGAGAGAGATGATACTGGCTTGGACCAGGATGGCAGCAGGGGAAGTAGTGGATTCTGGGTATTCTTGGTTATTGGATGAAGTTGTTATTGAGTAAGATAGAGAAAGGCTGCAGATGGAACAGGTTTTAGAGAGAAGAATGGGAGTTCTTTTTAGCATGTTGAATTGAAAATACATGTTATGTCCAAGTGGGAATGTCAAGTAGATGGTTATGAATTCATCAAGTGGAAAAATGTAATAATATAGCTTTTGGTCCTCCATGAACAAAGGCTGAGGGAGATGTGACATTTATGCCAAGTATTTGTCATTGCTGTGCTAGGCTCTGTCTTATTTAACCCTCATAATGACCTAAGCACTAAGTATTATTGCCCAGTTTTACAGATGCTTGAAACAATTAACAATGTAGTCATGGTTGAGTAGCCATTAAATAACTAAGTAATGATTCTAACCCAAGTCTTAATTCCAAATCCAACATTCTTCCTGCTACATAAAAGCTCCATTATGGCAAGATAAATTCCACTAGTCCTACTCAGTTAACTAAACTTAAAGCATTACTCTGTCTCTTCTAATCAGACAGTTGGAGTTATTCTGTAATTTGCTGGGTCATCTTAGGCCAAGTCTAGGTCAGTGACCTTTTCTGTACTTTGCCCATGTCCCCATTGATCCATAGCTACTGATATCTCACTAGTCAATATTTCTGGTCTCTCCTCTCATAAATTTCTGCAGTAAGTGCTTTCTCAAATGCCTAAACATATTGTACTTTTTTGTCCATAATAACGTGCTTATTCTCTCAGTTTCTTCACTTCTTTCTTCCCTAATGTTTTGGTTCTCAACGTGTCCTTTTCTGTCCTGCTGACATTCTGTGTCAGGGTCTCTTAGTCACCAGTGGAGCCAGCATAGTATGCAATGAGGACTGGAATCTCTGTAGATTTGTGGGGAATATAGTTCCCCCAGGAAGATCAGCTTCCATCTTCCACCCCAGCTATGGATGAAACAGGGCTCTTGCCGAAACCGGTTTGGCTCAGTGGATAGAGCGTCGGCCTGTGGACTGAGGGTCCCAGGTTCAATTCCGGTCAAGGGCATGTAACTTGGTTGGGGGCACATCCCCAGTAGGGGGTGTGCAAGAGGCAGCTGATGGATGAATCTCTCTCATCGATGCTTCTAACTCTCTCTCCCTCTCTCTTCCTCTCTGTAAAAAATCAATAAAATATATTTGAAAAAAAGAAACAGAGCTCTTGTGCCTGGCTCTGTTTTCTAACCTGGCTAAGGTAGGGCTGACCATCAGCTTACTCTTCAAATTGTTTTTACATAAGGGGTAAAAATAAAATAAAGGCTATAAAGGACTCCAAGAATAAACTGAAGTGCAGAAAAGTAAGGGGATCAGCCTCAAATGACCCAGCTAGTTAGTGGCAAACTTCAGTAGATCATAACATACAGCAGAGTGTCGGGTAAGAATACAGGAACATTGAGGAGAAAGACATTTTTAACAGAGGGCTGAGTCAAACCATTTGTCCTTAATCTGGGTCTTTTCTCTGCACACAGAACGACTGAAGAACTTACAAGTCACTAGTGACACTAAACTCTTTGAGAATGGGACCTGTGAGATCCAGCTGACCTGCTTTGTGAAGAATCCAGATGACCATGTCTCATTCAGGTGGCAGGCCACAGAAAGCACAATTCTGGAGGAAGCAAACCTCACTATCTCTTGGGACCCCAAGAATTCCAGTGAAGAGACATACACTTGCATAGCTAAGAATCCTGTCAGCAATTTATCCTTCTCTCTCTCTGTCCAAAGTCTCTGCAAAGGTAAGAGTCTGTCTCAGGTCTCTCTCAAAGCCTTGAGCAGCTGTCGGGTGTGGCATGACCACAGGATTAACATGATTCCCAAAACAGCAGCCCAATGGGAGGCAGCCAAAGATGCTGGGAGAAGACAGACACTCAATGTCTACCCCCAGAGATCTCACCTTCCTCCCTAACCCCACCCTCCCCCAACCCTCCTGCAACACACTCAGAGCCCAAGAACAAAATCCTTAGGAAAGCAGAATTTTGCCTTCTCCTGGCTCTACCAAACTCTGCCCTGCCCCGTCTCCCACCCCCAGAAATCCTGCCCAGAGCCCCAGGGCTTCTGGGTATAGATGAACCCACCCTGTCCCCCAAAAGTGGCCTAGAAGAGGTTAAGTGTAGGCTCTGAGAAGAACACGGAGCCTTACTCAATTGTCCTAAGTGCAACTTTTTTTTTTTTTTTTTTTTTTGTCTTTTCAGGTGTTTTTAACGAAAAAAATCAACACTGGATTATCATATGGAGTGTACTAGTGCCTTGTTTGATCTGTATCATTGTGTCCTTATTTTTTTGGAGGAAAAAAGCATCAGGTTTTCTTTCTTCTTACTTGTCTCTTCTCCAAGGTTTCAGAGTCTGGGGTTCCCTTTACCTACCTTTTGGAAGACAGAGGAAAAGAGGGAGGATGCGATACTGGTTCAGCTAGTCCACTAGGACAACACCTGGGGTATAACCTCACACCCGCTAATTTGCTGAGACGTTGTCCTACTGGGAAGTGTAGGTCCCCAGGTCCTGCCTGCCCTTCCCTTTCTGGTCTCCTCACACCACATATTCTATAGAGACACCTATGGGGCTGGAGGGTGGAAAATCTCTCTCGTTACAGTCACAAGTTTCTATTTACTTGATTTTATTTTTCAGGTTCATTTTGCTCTTCTACTCAGCAAACCCAGAGTCCTGGTGAGTTTCTAGACTCTTAACTCCCAACCCAAAAACAGCTAGGAATAGCCAAATTGAAAAAGAAGAGGGCAGACAGAGGGCTGGATCATTGGAAAAGATGGGAGTCAGAATGTCATTACTCAGCTGGACCAGATGGCACAAGGGGAGAACCTGTCATTGTGTACGTTTGTCCCCTGTGGGACCTACAGGGCCCTTTACAGCATGTGGACCAGTCGCTGACACAATTTCTTGGAGTGGGATTAGGGCCATTCCCCACTCTGCTGATGGAAAACTAAGTGCCAGTGAACTGGCTCATGGCCTGTCCACTATCACCCAGCAAGTCCAGGGCAAGTGTAGGATGAGAGCATCAAAGGCCCAAAGACAAACTGCCTGACCCCATCACTCTGTTCATCCAGGGCGTGGGAACTGAGTAAAAACAATCAAAAGAGAAAATGTGATAGAGAACTGGGATGCAGACTCTGGACTCAGATCAGCACTGAGTCTCATTTCCTGGGGGAGAGATATAGGATGTCATGTGTAGAGTAAATGGGATGAGATTTGGCATCAGAAAGTATGCATTTAGTTCCTTATTCGGTCACTTCCTATATAATTTTGTGCCAAGTCAATTGAATTTTCTGAACCTACAGTTCCTTATTTATAATAATAAAAGCATAATATGCTAATTAGACCAGATATCCTTCCGGATGAAGCCGGGGCTGCAAGGGAAGCCTAGGTCCTGGGTTCCTGAGGGAAGCTGGTGCCAACAGTCAAAGGAAGGAAGTCCTACTCTTGCACGAATTTCATGCATCAGGCCTCTAGTCTCTAATATAATCAAACCCAATGTGAGGAACATGAAAGGGTTAATCACAGGTATGTGAAATAATCCAGGTCCATTACCCTGGCCAGTTAGGTTTGCTAGCTCATAAGTACATATTTTATTGATTTTTTACAGAGAGGAAGGGAGAGATATAGAGAGCTAGAAACGTCGATGAGAAACATCAACCAGCTGCCTCTTGCACACCCCCTACTTGGGATGTGCCCGCAACTCAGGTACATGCCCTTGACCGGAATCGAACCTGGGACCTTTCAGTCCGCAGACCAACGCCCTACCACTGAGCCAAACCGGTTTCAGCAAGAGGCTGAATCTTTAGGGTACCTCAAGGCTATGTGCCCCCAAGAGATGAGGTCAAAAACAGATCACATGACTGAGAAGTTTCTGGTTCAACCCAGAATGTCAAAGACTGCCAAAAATGAATGAACCGTAAGGAATGGCAGTGCCTTGAACAACTGCATCTTCAGGGCCAGAAAGTGGCCCGGGGTAGGCAAGGTCGTGGGAGAATGCTTCTGCAATTGACTGGGACTCTCTGTGTTTTCAGCAGAGACCTCGAGGGACTCAGGGAATGATCCGACCTGCCCAGAGAACACTGTGTACGCTCGGGTCACTCATCCAAACACGGTGAGTCCTTTCCACTTTATACTCCACCAACAGCATTATTTTTATAGTCATTATTCAAAAACATGTCACCACAATCACTTGACTAATCCAAATGACGTACACCATTGAGGAGAGGAGAAGAGAAGGCTACGGATAGCTACACAGTTCTACGCAGGATCATTCCAGCCCCAACCGCTCTCACCCCAATGGAATGTTTACTCATACCCTTCGCTGCATTGCTCTCTAACTGCTTCATGCATCAGGAAGTCTGGTCCCTTTGGCTTCATGACAAGCTGCCTGAAAGTAAAAAATTATGTCTTCCTCTCTCTCCCCCTGTGTCTTAGCCTGATGCTCAGTAAATATTTGCTGAGTGGATCAAAGTTCCATTAAGTTTGAGAGTTTCCAGAGGAGACAGATCGGTAGCAGGGAAAATAGCAGTGCTCCGAAGCAGTCTCTCAAGAGATGAGGGACAAGAATTTGCAGTCCCTTCACAGTAGAGGGCAATAAAGACATGAGTAGCTCTCAATCCTCCCCACCCCTCTAGCAACAGAACCGGAAGGCCTTGGTCAGGCATGAATAATTCCCCACCACCTGCAAGAGGTTCAATTCTAAAGAACACATCCTGGCAGGCCATGTTGTCTGAAAACAAGTCCAGAGACTCATCATCCTCCAACTGACAGAAGCAATAGTCTAGCTAGAAACCTTTGTTTCCTCATGCAGCTCAAAGGTATTTGTAAAGCAGGCACCTTGAAGAAAGGGAACATGAAGGAAACAGATATGTCTTATTGGTTTTGTTTTTTTCTTAATCCTCACCTGAGGATATTTTTGCATTGATTTTTAGAGAGAGTGGAAGAGAGAGGGAAAGACAGAGAGAAATATCGATGTGAGAGAAACACATCAAGTGCTTGCCTCCTGCACGAGTCCTGACCAGGGCCTGGGCTGGGAGGAGTCTGCAACTGAGGTACATGCCCTTGACGGGAATCGAACCCAGGACCCTTCGGTCTGCAGGCTGACAGTCTATCCAGTGAGCCAAACCAACTAGGGCTTGTTCAAATATTTCTATTGTCCTTCCCATTTCCTCTTGAAGACAAGATGAATCACTCTCAAGAAACTAATCTGCAAATTTAACTTTATTTTTTAATGTAAAATTGTACTTTGGAGAGTTTTGGAGGTCTTGAAAACACCCTATATATTTGTTAATTAATTTTAAATGTCAAAACCTCTGAGCACAGGGGACTTCTGTTATTGCTACATTTTGTATTCCAAGCAGAGCCACTCTTTAAAAAAAATTTTATATATATATATATATATATATATATATATATATATATATATATATATATATATAGTGATTGATTTTTTACAGAGAGGAAGGGAGAGAGATAGTTAGAAACACTGATCAGCTGCCTCCTGCACACACCCCACTAATGATGTGCCCACAACCAAAGTACATGCCCTTGACTGGAATCGAATCTGGGACCTTTCAGTCTGCAGGCTGACGTTGTACACACTGAGCCAAATTGATTTTTGCCAGAGCCTCTCTGAATACCAGATGTGTCTCCTACCGGTTCCCCCTGCTTGAGGAGAACCCAATGACTTGATGACCAGGCAATTAGAACCACAGGGATAAAACAGAGCAGGCAGCACTATCCAGGGATAGCCAGTAGAGATCTGAGACAGAAGATAGTGGAGTTGGGTTCAGGACAAGAATGTTTCCTTTTCTTCACAACACTTGCTAAGAAAGTCACCTTCCTGCCTTTGGCTTCCTGTCTTCACAACACTTGCTAAGAAAGTCACCTTCCTGTCACTGGTTTGCTAGAGTATGCTTCTGTTTGGGGGTCAGAAAATGCCACTAAACTCACAGGTTTGAGAGCTGTTGGTGTTTGGTCTCCAGCTCCCCTTGCTAAGCACTCCCTAGCCTTCCTCCTGGAGAACTCTGGCACACTGCCTTTCTCTGGGAATATGTCTTTGCATGAGTATCTCTTTGTCTGTGTGAGTCAAATGAGTATGATTCCTTTTTATAGAAAACGGGAATCCCAATACCTATGAAAAATAATGATTCCTCTACAATTTACTCCGTAATTTGTCAACCCAAACAGGTAAGCCCATGATTGCCTCATGTTCTTACATTCTTACCTCTCTCATCAGACTTATGACTTTACCAAGAAAGCAAAAGTTAAGGAGCCATTTTTGCCCTTGCTGGTTTGGCTCAGTGGATAGAGCATGGGCCTGCAGACTGAAGGGTCCCAGGTTCGATTTCAAAGGCATATGCCCTGGCTCTATCCCCAATAGGGGGTGTGCAAGAGGCAGCCAACCAATGAGTCTCTGATTCTCTCTCATCATTGATGTTTCTATCTTCCCCTCTCCCTTTTTCTCTGACTTTAATAAAAATAAATAAATAAATAAATAAATAAATAAATAAATAAATAAATAAATAAAATATATATATTAAAGTTAAGGAGCCATTTTATAGATGAATAATACCAGCAGAATATCAAAAGTCTCAGGATATCACCAAAACATATCTAAAAAGTTTTGTTGTATTAAGATCACCATGCATATCTATGTTTTCAGCCTACTTGTGTTTTAATTCTCTTATGCTATCAGTTAATATTCCTATCTTCCCTCTGGTGCTCTGCAGACCTCCTCTGTAGCCATGGAGTCTGGCCTGAGGCTCTGGTCCTTATTAAACCACTTCATTTTCCTCTTTTTCCCATTAAAGCAAGTCCATTTCTTCCAGGGTAACAGTTCTTGACAACATTGTCTAAGTTGCTGAAATGTCTCAAAGGAATTCAGGAATGACACATCTTCTCCTGAACCCAATTGGAGACCACAGAGCGGGAATTCTGCCTGAAAACAGAAGTTGAATATCTAGGATTATCACTTCCAGTCCTTCAGACTTGAACCTGCTTACCTAGGTCAAACACTGGTTAACTGCCACGTGTCCATATTTGCAATGGAGCCCTGATTGGTTTGGCTCAGTGGATAGAGCATCCGCCTGCGGACTCAAGGGTCGTGGGTTCAATTCTGGTCAAGGGCATGTACTCTGGTTGCGGGCACATCCCCAGTAGGGGGTGTGCAGGAGGCAGCTGAACCATGTTTCTCTCTCATCGATGTTTCTAACTATCCCTCTCCCTTTCTCTCTGTAAAAAATTAATAAAATATATATTTTTAATTTGCAATGGATATTATAAAAATTAATATATTGATGCATATTAGAATAACCAATGGACACAGACACTGGGGTGGTGGGGGCTTGCCTGGGATAAGAATGGCTGGGGGAAGGGAGTCAATTGGGGAAAAAGAAGACATAAACCTTTAGACAATAAAAAAATAATAATAATAAAATCATATATATCTCACAATTTGGGTGTTCTTGAATATTTTCAGTTGAAAATTCTCACAAAAAATAATTTTAAAGTTGGTCAAGGCTGCCACTTAGGGAAAACATTTTTTCTTTATAGACACACGTGGTGTGTGGGGAAGGTCCACCGCTTGCGTCTACAGACACCTATGACATACAATGGGTTAAGGAATAACATCATGTGCAGCCTGTGATCAAAATAACAATTTCTAATCTGCTCCAGGATGAAACATGCTTCAGATAACATGCCTGGGTATTGACTTTCCCTTTGGCAACTAAGCAAATGAACTTATGGTTGATGGAGAGACTCTAATCCAGAAGACAACCACTTCTCTCCTTTTAGAAAGCAGCAGAATTGTGACACATGAGTGTCGCTTGGTCTGTGAAAGCCAGATGAGCATGGTTACCTTGGGAGAGAATACAATGTGTGGATTACGTGTGCTGTCTTTGGAATTGGGTAGACTCATGCTCAAATCATGTACTGGACATATCTCCTGGAACATGCTACCTAAGTTCTTGGAGCTTTGGTCTCCTAGACCAGTGGTCGGCAAACTCATTAATCAACAGAGCCAAATATCAAGAGTACAACGACTGAAATTTCTTTTGAGAGCCAAATTTTTTAAACTTAAACTTCTTCAAAACAGACTCGCCCAGGCCATGGTATTTTGTGGAAGAGCCACACTCAAGGGGCCAAAGAGCTGCACGTGGCTCGAGAGCCACAGTTTACCGATCACGGTCCTAGACTGAAAAAGGAGGGTGTGATACATCAGCCCTATTACTCAAACCAGGAGCTTGAGTTACCTTTGACTCCAGCTTCTCTATCACCAGGCCCTTTGGACTCTACCTCCAAAGACATATCTGAACTTACCCACTTCTCCACAAATCTTCCACCAGCATCCTCCACCCAGTCATTACCATCTCTAACCTGGAAGGCTGCAATAAACTCTGAACAACTCTCCCTAGTTTTGCTCTTCTCTCCCTCTACCCCATTTTCCAAAAGACAGCCAGAGTCGTGTTTTTAATATAAATCAGATCTTTCACTGGTCTGCTTAAAACTCTGCAATATTTCTCCCTGCACTCAGAATGAAATTACATCTCCATGGCCCCGGATGGTCTCTGGCCCATCTCCAGCCTCAGCCATTATCACTCTCCCACCGCTGTCTCTATTTATCCTCCCTGGTCTTCTGTCAGCTCCTCCATTAAAGGAAAGAGCTCTTTAAGGGAGAATTATTCACATCCTGCTCTGCTCCTCCTCATTCTTTAGGTCTCAGCTTATATAGGTCACCTTCTTAAAGAACCTTCTCAGACCTATCTATCCAGTGCTCTCCCCATTTTTCTGTCACACTGCCATGTCACTTATCATATGGCAAAACATATTTATTTTTATTGGCTTATAGTAATGTGAGTTTCTCCTACTACACATAAACTTTCCTGGAATAGGGACCATAATAATTTTATTTATCGCTGTTTCCCTGGCACCTAACACAGTAGCTAGCTCATAGAAAATGTTCAACAAATATTTTAAATAAATGAAGGAATGTGTTATAAAACTGTGTGAGAATTAAATAAGATAATGTACCTGACATCTTCAGCATAGTGCTTAGTTCATAAAAGTGCTCAATAAATGGTAACTATTGTTGCTGTTGTTAAGTTACATTCTCCTGAACCAACAACTTTTCTCACAAACCTTCAAAAAATACAAAAGAAGAGAAGATACATTGTCTGAGCCCAGCTTTCTAATCATTTCCTGCCTTTTCTCTGCTCAAATTCTCATATTCCCTTCTTTTACACCATTCCCTTCAGAAGAATGTCATGATATTTTGTGGGTTCAATATATTTTAATGTCTTTTTTTAAAGAAACATTTTATTGAGGTATAATTAACATGCCAAAATTACATATTTAATGCATATAACTGGTGTTTTAAATAAATATACATTCGTGAAACCACAACCACAATCAATACTGTAAACATATCCATACACTCTGAAAGTTTCCCTCTACACTTCTTTTTAATTTTTAATTTTTGTGTGTGGGCTAAGAATACTTAACATAAGATCTGTCCTCCTAGCAAATTTTTAAGTATAGGATACAATATTGTTAACTATAGACACTATGCTGTACAATAGCTCTCTGGGACTTATTCCTCCTACATAACTAAAATTTTATATCTTTTGACCAAGACCATCTGCATTCTCCCCCCTCACTTATCCCCTGGTAACTCCTATTCACTCTCTGCTTCTATAAGTTTAACTTTTAGATTTCTCATATAAGTAGGATCATATTATTTGGTGCATGTGCATGTGTGCTCGCACGTGTGTGTGTGTGTGTGTGTGTGTGTGTGTGTGTGTGGCTTATTTTATTTAGTATAATGTCCTCCAGGTTCATCTATGAATTTTATTTTTTTATTGATTTCAGAGTGGATGGGAGAAGAGTTCCCTTTCCTCCCCATCCTTATCAATGCTTGTTATTTTTTTACTAGAGGCCCAGTTCATGAAATTAGTGCACTGGGGAAGGGGGTCCCTCAGCCCGGACTGTGCCCTCTCGCAGTCCAGGACCCTGTAGGGGATGGGATCTGGCCTAAGCCAGCAGTTGGATATCCCTCTCAGTCTGGGATTCCTCTTGCAGTCCTGGACCCCTCGCTCCTTGCTGCCTGCATGCTCACTGCTCCTTACTGCTTGGCTTGTTGGTCCTTAGCACTGCCACTGAGGCAGGAGAGGCTCCCTCTACCACCACTGTGCTCACCAGCTGTGAGCTTGGATTTTGGCTGAGTGGTGCTCCCCCTGAGGGAGCACACTGACCACCAGGGGGAAGCTCCTGCATTGAATGTCTTCCCCCTGTGGTCAGTGCACATCATAGCAACTGGTCATTCCACTGTTGAGTCAATTTGCATATTAGGGTTTTATATATAGGATTTGTGTTTTTATATAGCCATCTTTATAGGTGTGAGATGATATCTCGTTATGGGTTTGATTTACATTACCCTAATGAGTAGTGATGTTGAGCACCTTTTCATATATTTATTGGCCATTTACATGCCTTCTTTGAATGAATGTCTATTCCAATCCTTTACTCATTTTAAATTTGTGTTATTTGGTTTTTTACTATTGAGTTTTGGTAATTTCTCATATATGTTGGTGTGTCTTAAAAAAAAAAAAAAAAACAGGGAGAAAGAGGAAGAGAGAGAAAAACACTAATGTGAGAGAGATATATCATCTATTGCCTCCTGTTCACATCCTAACTGGGGATAGAATCCACAACCTGGACAAGTGACCTGACTGGGAATAGAACTGGTGACCTTTCAGTGCATGGGATGATGCTCAACCAACTGAGCCACACCAGCAGGGCTATATTTTGGATATTAATCCTTTATCAGGTGGATGGTTTGCAAATGTTTTCTCCCATTCCATAGGTTTCCTTTTCATTTTATTTCCTCTGCTTCGCAGAAGTTTTTTAGTTTGATGTAATTCCATTTCTCTTTTTCTACTTTTGTTGCCTTTGCTTTTGGTGTCAAATTCAATAGATCATTGCCAAGACCAATGTCAAGAGGCTTTTCTCCTGTGTTTTCTTCTAGAAGTTTTACATTTTCAACTTTTACAAAAAAAGCTATGAAATACACTTAAAGCTATTAGTGAATGCCATATACTTTATTAGAAGTCTCTTAGCCTGGGCCAATGTGCTCAGTGGTAGATCGCTGGCCCTATGACCAAAGAGTTGAGGGTTCGCCAAAACCGGTTTGGCTAGGTGGATAGAAGGTTGGTCTGTGGACTGAAAGGTCCCGGGTTAGATTCCGGTCAAGGGCATGTACCTTGGTTGCGGGCACGTCCCCAGTATGGGGTGTGCAGGAGGCAGCTGATTGATGCTTCTCTCTCATTGATGTTTCTAACTCTCTATCTCTCTTTCTTCCTCTCTGTGAAAAATCAATAAAATATATGAAATACATGAAAGAAAGAAAGAAAGAAAGAAAGAAAGAAAGAAAGAAAGAAAGAAAGAAAGGAAGGAAGGAAGGAAGGAAGGAAGGAAGGAAGGAAGGAAGGAAGGAAGGAAGGAAGGAAGGAAGGAAGGAAGGAAGGAAGGAAGGAAGGAAGGAAGGAAGGAAGGATGGATCTCTTGGCTCTGAAGGAAAATATCATCCCTCTTCAGCAGGAAGCAGTTACAGAAGAAAACCTGTGCCCCTTTTCTCTGACAGAATTCAGAGCCAAGATCCTTAAGGGGTAATGTGATAGACAGTTAGACATGAGCAGAGCAGGGATAATGGGCCAGGTACAGAAAGTCAGCAGAGTGGGCAGCCCTGGGCACCTAGCAATGCGCAATTTAGGGTAGGCCCTTCCTCCCCTAGCATATCGCTAGTCATGTGGTTTTGACACCCTCACCTTTTCCTCCCTAAAGATAACGTCTAGGCCACAGTTGTATTTCAGCTCCAGGCCCAGAAAAGCAGCAAAACCAGACAAGCAACACCACGGCTGACCTCAGGACCAGCCATGATGACTAATGAATTCTGCCCTGGAACAGACCAATCCATCAGTGGAGACCACAACCGTGAAAGGACACACCTGGAAAACTGCTGAATATTCTATGAAGATCTTTTCCTGGGATTCCCCTAAAAGCTCCACCCTGAACCCCTAGAATGGAAGACCCAGCTTGCTCACTCTCCCGGGAGCACGCCTGCCTGCGATTTTCCTTTCCCCGTTCCCCATGACATTTTACCATTATCTTTCTCACTCCCAAGCTCTATGGATCCTTCCTTTGCCTGAGTGGCCAGATTATGATGATCTCTGAACGCATAATAATCTGGCCACTCAGTGTATATCCTATATAATAAAAGGCTAATATGCAAATTGTCCCCTCAACCAGGAGTTCGACCAGCAAGCATGCTGGCCAACCGCTCATGCCCCCTCTCCCTGGCCAGGCATGCACCGGGCCTCTAATATATATATTATACTGCACCTAGGGATCTTCATGTGTTCGGAGATCATAATAATCTGGCCACTCAGTGTATTTCCTAAGCCCATTTCTTCTATGAATTACTTCTTTACCTCTGAGATTTTATAAATAGAGGCCCAGTGGAAGGGTGAGGGAGGGGGATCCCTCAGCCCGGCCTGAGCCCTCTCTCAGTCTGGAAGCCACGCAATTGATCACCCCATAGAGGGAGGCCCCACCCACCTGCCACAGCCCACCAGTCAATGCAGTCGTGGGGCAATGGCAGGGCCCCCCCAACCAATCACATCCCACCCACCTGGGCTGGCCTGGCGCCAGTGGGTGTCATAGCATGGTTGTCCGGATAGTTCTTGCACTGTTCAGCCGTTTGTTCGACCTGCATATCACACTTTTATTATTAAGATGTTCACCTATAGTTTGAATCTTGGCTCTGAATTCTTTCCTAGCGGGAACCCATGTACCAAGGATTGTTGAAGTCCCCAGATCTGATCTGACTCCGCCTAGTGCTGTTCCTGCTGCAACCAGCTGTCAGGCTGGAACATCCTAGGTGCTGAGAAAAGACTCGCTAAACTGAAAGCAGTTATTTTATTTGCCCGTAAAGAGAAAGAATGATTTGAGAGACCTGCTAGAAATTTGGTCACAATAACTCAAAAGCTGGATTTGAGGTAAACTGAAAGCAGAAGTAAGTGAAACTATAAGCCTCGTTACATAAAGAAAAGTCAGAAGAACAGGGGGTTGTAGTTTCGAGGGAAGTTAATTTTATTTGTTTTCATATGAGAAAGACTGGAGTACAATTGTAAAGGAAGAAGTA